AGAACCACCTTGGCAAGGGTGGCCTGCCTCTGTTGAGGCTGAGTCTCTCTGTAGTGGCGGGTTGCCTTGGCAACGGCAGGCTGCCTCAGAAATCGTGTGTTGCCTTGGCAACAGCGGGCTGTCTCAGCATTGGCTGACTACCTCTGTAGTGGTGGTCTGCCTCGGTAATGGCAGACACCCCTCCCCCACAGCGCTGCACTGTCCTGGGTTCAGCTGCGCTTGCTGTGAAATTCTCAATCCAGAGCGTTTCTGATTGCTGTTCTTTTCTGCGGGTGGGACCAGCCGAGCATAATCGTCTGGCTCCCTGCCTCGGAGCCTTTTTTTTTTTTTTTAAGTTGGTGTTGCAGTCACCTGTTGGAGAGGCATCACACTGTATGTTTTTTCCTGTGCGACAACTCACTTTGCTGGCTTAAACAGCGGCACTGAGATTCGTGGCGCTTTTTTGCCCTGGAATCTACTGTCCTGGCTCCCTGCTCAGTCCGTTTTTTAAACAGACAAATGGGTGACTTCCTGTGGCTCCAATCGCCAGCCAAAAGGGCACCCAGGCCAGTGTATTTTGTACAGAGAACCGCTGCTCTGGGATGCCGACAAAGCAGCCGCGTGAGGCAAAGTAGTGGCGCTGGGCAGCACAGCCGCGCTGGCTGAAACAGCTGCGCTGGTGACCGGTAGAGCTCCTCTGCCTGGGAATTGCCCAGTCTGTGGGCAATAAAAATGCGGTATCCACTCACCCTCTGCACTTTCACTGGGAGCTGCAATCCTGAGCTGTTCCTAAACTGCCATCTTGGATCCTCCCTAAGGAGTGATATTTTAAATTTAATACCATGTAAACCAAAAAGAACTTATACAATTTATATATTTTAGATATATATACACATATATGTATAATTTATAATATATATAATAGGAAGAATATCTACATAATTAAGTACGTTTTATGTCCATAGAGCAGGAAGTTCTGTATGTAATTTTTTCCCACTTTTCTGTAAGAGTTATATATGGGGGGAGGCAATGACTCATACCTGTAATCCCAGCACTTTGGGAGGCTAACACAGATGAATCACAAGGTTAGGAAATCGAGACCATCATGAACAGTGTGGTCAAACACCATCCCTATTAAAATACAAAAATACCCAAATATCCAGGTGTGGTGGCATGCACCTGTAATCACAGCTATTCGGGAGGGTGAGGCAGGGGAATCGATTGAACCCAGGAGGCAAAGGTTGAAGTGAGCTGAGATTGTGTACTCCAGCCTGGCAACAGAGCAAGACTCTGTCTCAAAAAAAAGTAAAGTATTATATATACATATTTTTCCTCTACAATATGCAATTGACATCTATTTCATTAAGTCTAGACAGCAACTGAGTTGGGTAACAGCCCAGTTTCCGGAGTCAGGATGTCTATAATTCAATCATAGCTACATAACTCAGAAAAAGTTACTTAATTCCCCACTGCCTTAATTTCCTCATTTGTAAAATCAAGAGAATGATAGTACACTTGCCTTGTGGATTTTGTGAGGATTTAATTAAATAATGATTATAAATATACATTTCTCAGTAGAGTTTCACTTTTATACCAGTCTTCCTGAGGTAAAGTTTAAGAGCAATGGCTTTCATTTTCTGAAATAAATTATATAGACACCTACATATAAAGGTTTCAGAAATATGACTGGTCTAAAATAAGTGCTCATCTATATTAACTAATTTGTTACTACTACTATGTATTTGTATTTTAAGGTTACTAATACCAGTAGTATATATTGTATAAGGATTTCATTAAGTTGAATATTTAAAAGGGCTTTTTTCTACCTTTCCTAACTTGGTTCATCTACATGTTGTTTCTATTTTACATGATTCTTATCATGTGTCCTAATTAATATTTAGAAATGTATTTCCTGCTTAAGTAATCAAAGTATACGAAGATGGTTGCGTCAGCTAAGTTTGCATGATGCAAATGTAGAAAAATACAAGACATTTTTGCTTGTAAGGAGATAAGGACAAATATGTCTTATACCTGGAAAGCTTAGAACAGGATCTAAATTTGGATAAATCTTGTTCTAAATGCAAACTAAGATTCTTCACCAACAACTTTCTTTCCACACTCATCCCAGGCTTCATCAATGTTGACTTCACCTTCAAGTTTGACTTGGGAGTTTGCAGCAGGTCCAAGCTCCCATACAATGGCTGTTGCTGAAGAAACATTGCAACATTGAACACTCTAGTATTCTCTCTTCTTTGTATTAGTATTTGCATACTTTAAAACTAAATTTGCAATCCCGACAAAAGTGAATAGTGTTATGTCTAATAGGTTTGTGGCCATGGCTGCTAGCATTATAAATGGACTCAGTTCACTTTTTTGACACTGATACTTAGTTTTGTTTTATTCCTCTTATGTTCCACTTACCATCCATTCTGAATGCAGCAGGTTCCTTTTTTAATCTGTTGTTGCTGTGCCTTATATTTTGATTTTAGAATTATGTACAATTCCCCCAATACCTACTGCATTGTGTCCTTGACATTTATACTTTGCTTCTGACTTTTCTTCAGTTATTTTGTAGAATCTTATTCTATATTTGTAGGGAATCTTTTCTGCTATAGGCTGAATTCACCCACAAAATTTTTCTTAAGAATATTTGTAAAGGCAGAGTATGGACAATTGTTTCAAATGTTTCATTCATATCTGTGCCTCACTGCTCAACTCTCCCCAAATATTTAATGTTAGATTCAACGTTCAAAGGTGCTGGATTCACATTGATTATATTACTATATCAAGTAGTTAACCATCATTTTATAGTATTTCATCTAATTCTGAAGAAACAAATCTTACATAATTAAATATATGGCTACATATAAATTTGTATACATAAAAATTGCATTAGGAACCAGTAATATATTCTAGAATATCTTATACTGTGTCATACAATCATATGTTCTAGAATTTTTATATTCTATATGTATACAGTATTATGTACATATCATTTAATATAGCACTGTGAACAGTATCATTATATATGTGCATACAGTACATACATTATTGTCATGTATATATATCATTAAATGTAGCATTGTGAAAAGTATCATTAAATACAGCATTGTGATTAGCATTTATGTGGTATTATACATGCATATATCATTAAATATAGCAATGTAAAAGAAATATATCAGTGAAAATGGCTGAATGGGAACAGCTCCGGAGTGCGGTTTCCAGCGAGAATGCTGCAGAAGGTGTGATCTCCACATTTCCATTTGAGGTACCAGGTTCATCTCAATGGGACTGGTTGGACAGTGGGTGCAGCCCAAAGAGGGCAAACCAAGGAAGGATGGGGTTCTGCCTCATCCAGGAAGTGCATTGAACTGGAGGACCCCTGTTCCTACCAATGGGGGTCATCAGGGACTTTTCTGGCCACTCCAGCACTCCAGATCAGATACTGTGCTTCTACCACTGTCTTTACAGCCCACACACCAGGAGATTCGCACCGGGCATACAAGTGCCACGGGTTTCCAGCACAAACCTAACTGGCACCTGGAATGCCTGTGAGACAGAGTTGCCCGTTCCCCAGAAAAAAAAGAGGGTTGAAGGCAGGGAGCAAATTGATCTGGCTCAGTGGCTCCCATCCCCACAAAGACCAGCAAATTGAAACCCACTGGCTTGAGAGTTTCACAGCCAGTACAGCAGTTTGAGCTTGACACAGGACAGTCAAGATGTCATAGGGGAAGTGCACCCACCATTACCGAGAAAGTTCAAAATTACCTAGGCATTTCTAACCTTACCTGTGTAAACAAAATCTCAAGGAATTTTACACAGAAACTGGGTGGAGCCATGGCAGCTAAGCAATACCTCTTCAGACAGTCTGTGACTTGACTCCCTCCTTTCTGGGCAGGGCATCTCTGAAAAAAGGCAGCAGCATGTCAGGGACTTATAAATAGACCCCCACCCTCCCGGGACAGAGCACCTGGGAAAAGGGGCAGTCGTGAGTTCCACTTCAGCAGACTTAAACATCCCTGCCAAGCAGCCCTAAAGGGAGCAATGGAGCTCCCAGCATAGCACTTGAGCTCTGATAAGGGAGAGACTGCCTCCTCAAGTGATTCCCTGACACCCGTATATCCAAAGAGACACCTCATACAGGAGAGCTCTGGCTTTCATCTGGTGGGTACGCTTCTGGGATGAAGCTACCAGAGGAAGGAATAGGCAGCAATCCTTGCTGTTCTACGGTCCCTGCAGGTGATTCCCAGGCAAGCAGGGTCTGGAGTGGACCACCAGCAGTCCTACAGCAAAGGGGCCTGACTGGTAGAAGGAAAACTAAAAAACAGAAAGAAATAGCTTTAACATTAACAGAAAGGACGTCTACTCAGAGACCCCATCTGATAGTCACAAACTTCAAAGACAAAAGGTAGATAAATCAATGAATATGGGAAGAAACCAGTGCAAAAGGCTGAAATCACTATAAATCAGAACACCTCTCCTTCGAGGGATCACAACTCCTCACCAACAAGGGGACAAATCTGGATGGAGAATGAGTTTGATGAATTGACAGAAGCAGGCTTCAGAAGGTGGGTAATAACAAACTTCTCTGAGCTAAAGGAGCATGTTCTAACCCAATGCAGAGAAACTAAGAACCTTGAAAAAAGGTTAGACAAAATGCTAACTAGAATAGCTAGCTTGGAGAAGAACACAAAGGACTTGATGAAGCTGAAAAACACAGCATGACAACTTCTAGAGGCATACACAAGTTTCAATAGCTGAGTCGACCAGGCAGAATAAAGGATATTAGAGAATGAAGATCAACGCAATGAAAAGAAACTAGAAGACAAGATTAGAGAAAAAAGAGTGAAAAGAAATGAAGAAAGCCTCCAAGAAATATGGGACTATGTGAAAAGACCTAATCTATGTTTGATAGGTGTACCTGAATGTGATGGGGAGAATAAATCAAAGCTGGAAAACACTCTTCAGGATATTATCCAAGAGAACTTCCCCAACCTAACAAGGCAGGCCAACACTTATAGGAAAAGCAACTCCAAGGCAAATAATCGTCAGATTCACCAGGGATGAAATGAAAGAAAAATGTTAATGGTAACCAGAGAGAAATGTTGAGTTACCCATGAAGGGAAGCCCATCACACTCACAGAAGATCTCTTGGCAGAAACCCTACAAGCCAGAAGAGAGGGAGGCCAATATTCAACATCCTTAAAGAAAAGAACATTAAATCGAGAATTTCATATCCAGCCAAACTAAGCTTCATAAGTGAAGGAGAAATAAAATCCTTTACATAGAAGCAATTGCTGAGATGTTTTGTTTACCACCAGGCCTGCCTTACAAAAGCTCCTGAAGAAAATACTAAACATGGAAAGGAACAACCAGTACCAGCCACTCCAAAAACATACCAAATAATAAAGACCATTGATACAATGAAGAAAATGAAATGTGTCAACTAATGGGCAAAACAGCCCGCTAGTATCAAAATGGCAGATCAGATTCACACATAACAAAAATAACCTTCAATGTAAGTGGGCTAAACACCCCAATCAAAGGACATAGACTGGCAAACTAGATAAAAAAAATCAAGACCCATCAGTGTGCTGTATTCAGGAGACCCATCTCATGTGTGAACATACATAGACTCAAAATAAAGGGTTGGGATATTTACCAAGCAAATGAAGACCAAAACATTCCTAGTCTCTGATAAAACAGACTTTGAACCAACAAAGATCAAAAGAGACAAAGAAGGGCATTATGTAATGGTAAAAGGATCAATGAAACAAGAAGAGCTAACTATCCGAAATATATATGCACCCAATACAGGAGCACCCACATACATAAAGCAAGTTCTTAATGACCAACAAAGAGACTTAGGCTCCCACACAATAACAGTGGGAGACTTTAACACTGCACTGTCAATATTAGACAGATCAACCAGACAGAAAATTAACAAATATATCCAGGACTTGAATTCAGATCTGTGCCAAGCACACCTAATAGACATCTACAGAACTCTCCACTACAAATCCACATAATATACATTCTCCTCAGCACCACATTGCACCTACTCTAAAATTGGCCACATAGTTGGAAGTAAATTATTCCTCAGCAAATGCAAAACAACAGAAATCATAACAACCAGTCTCTCTGACCACAGTGCAATCAATTAGGAACTCATGATTAAGAAATGCAATCAAAACTGCACAACTACATAAAAACTGAACAACCTGCTCCTGAATGACTACTGGATAAATAATGAAATGAAGGCAGAAATAAAGATGTTCTTTGAAACCAATGAGAGCAAAGACACAATGTACCAGAATCTCTGGGACACATTTAAAGCAGGGTCTAATGGGAAATTTATAGCAGTAAATGCCTACATGAGAAGTGAGGAAAGATCTAAAATTGACATGCTATCATCACAATTAGCTAGAGGAACAAGATCAAACAACTTCAAAAGCTAGCAGAAGACAAGACATAACTAGGTTCACAGCAGAACTGAAGGAGATAGAGACACACAAAAAACTTCAAAAATCAAAAAATCCAGGAGCTGGTTTTTTTTAAAAGATCAATAAAATAGATAGACTGCTAGCCAGACTAATAAAAAAGAAAAGAGAGAAGAATCAAATAGATGCAATAAAAAATGACAAACGGGATATCACCACAGATTCCACAGAAATACAATCTACCATCAGAAATCACTATAAACAACTCTATACACATAAACCAGTAAATCTAGAAGAAACGGATAAATTCCTGGACACTTACACCCTCCCAAGACTAAACCAGGAAGAATTCGAATCCCTGATTAGACCAATAACAAGGGATAAAGTTCAGGCAGCAATTAATAGCCTACCAACCAAAAAAAGTCTAGTTCTGGATGGGTTCACAGCTGAATTGTACCAGACATACAAAGAGGAGATGGTATTATTCCTTCTGAAACTATTCCAAACAATACAAAAAGAGGGAATCCTGCCTAACTTATTTTATGAGACCAACATCATCCTGATACCAAAACCACAAAGCAGCACAACTAAAAAATAAAATATCAGGCCAATATCCATGATGAACATTGATGCAAAAATCTTAAATACAATGCTGGCAAACCAAATGCAACAGCACATCAAAATGCTTATCCATCATGATCAAGCAGGCTTCATCCCAGTGATGCAAGGCTGATTCAAAGTACGCAAATCTATAAACATTATCCATCACCTAAACAGAACCAAAGGCAAAAATCACATGATTATCACACTAGATGCAGAGAAGGCCTTCAACAGAATCCAAAACCCTTCATGCTAAAAACTCTTAATAAAATAAGCATTGATGGAATGGATCTCAAAATAATAAAAACTATTTATGATAAACCCACAGCCAATATTATACTGAATGGACAAAAACTGGAAGGATTCCCTTTGAACACTGGCACTAGACAAGAGTGCCCTCTCTCAACATTCCTATTCCACATAGTATTGGAAGTTCTAGCCATAGCAATCAGGCAAGAAAAAGAAATAAAGGGTATTGAATTAGGAAAAGAGAAAATCAAATTTTTTCTATTTGCAGTTGACATGATTGTACATTTAGATGATCCCATCTTCTCAGCCTAAAATCTCCTTAAGATGATAAGCAACTACAGCAAACTCTCAGGATACAAAATTGATGTGCAGAAATCACAAGCATTCCTACACACCAACAACAGACAAACAGAGAGCCAAATTGTTAGGAAACTCCCATTCACAATTGCTACAAAAAAGATAAAATACTTAGGAATACAACTCATAAAGGACATGAAGGATCTCTTCATGGAGAACTACAAACTACTATTCAATAAAATAAGGGAGGATACAAACAGATGGAAAACATTCCATGTTCATTGTTAGGAAGAATCAGTATCGTGAAAATGGCCATACTGCCCAAAGTAATTCATAGCTTCAATGCTATACCCATCAATCTACCATTGACCTACTTCGCAGAACTGGATAAAACCACCTTAAACTTCATACGGAACCAAAAAAGAGCCCACATAGCCAAAACAATCATTAGCAAAAAGAACAAAGCTGGAGGCATCATGCTACCTGACTTCTAACTATACTACACATCTACAGTAATCATAACAGCATGGTACTAGCACTAAAATAGAAATATCAGCCAATGGAACAGAAAAGAGGCCTTGGAAGTAATACCACACACCTACAACCATCGGATCTTTGATAAACCTGACAAAAACAAGTAATGGGGAAAGGATTCTCTGTTTAATAAAGGTGTTAGGAAAACTGGCTAGCCATGTGCAGAAAGCTGAAACTGGACCCTTTCCTGACACCTTACACTAAAATTAACTCCAGATGGATCAAAGATTTAAACATAAGACCCAACACCATGAAAACCCTAGAAGAAGAACTAGGCAATACCATACAGGACATAGACATAGGCAACAACTTCATGATTAAAGCACAAAAAGCAATGGCAACAAAAGCCAAAATAAATAGACAAATGGGATCTAGTTAAACTTAAGAGCTTCTTCACAGCAAAAGAAACAATCATTAGAGTGAACCAGCCACCAACAGAAAGGACAAAAAATATTGCAAGTTACCCATCTGACAAAGGGCTAATATTCAGAATCTACAAAGAACTAAAACAAATATAGAAGTAAAAGCAAACAACCCCATCAAAAATTGGGCAAAGGATATGAACACACACTTTACAAAAGAAGACATTTATGTGGCCAACAAACATATGAAAAGATGCTCATCATCACTGGTCATTAGAGAAATGCAAATCAAAATCACATTGGGATACCATCTAACACCAGTTAGAATGGCAATCATTAAAAAATCTGGAGACAACAGATGCTGGAGAGGATGTGGAGAAATAGGAATGTTTTACACTGTTGGTGGGAGTGTAAATTAGTTCAGCCATTGTGGAAAACAGTGAGGTGATTCCTGAAGGATCTCAAAATAGAAATACCATTTGACCCAGCAATCTTATTCCTGGGTATATACTCAAAGTATTATAAATCGTGCCAATATAAAAACGCATGCAGAAGTATGTTCATTGCAGCACTGTTTACAGGAGCAAAGACCTGGCACCAACCCAAATGCCCATCAAGGATAGCCTGGATAAAGAAAATGTAGCTCATATACACCATGGAATACCATGTAGCCATTAAAAAAGAATGAGTTCATGTCCTTTGTAGGGACATGGTTGAATCTGGAAACCATCATTCTCAGCAAACTGACACAAGAACAAAAAACAAAACGCTGCATATTCTCATTCATACGTGGGTGTTGAACAATGAGAACACATGGACACAGGGAGGGGAACATTGCATCCTGAGGTCTGTTGTGGGTGGTAGGCTAGGGGAGGGATAGCAGGGAGTGGGGAGATTGGGGAGGGATAACATTAGGAGAAATACCTAAAGTAGGTGATGGGAGGATGGAGGGAGCAAACCACCATGGCATGTGTGTACTTATGTAACAATCCTGCAAGATCTGCACAGGTACCCCATAACTTAAAGTAAAATAAAATAAATAAAATGCATAGCACTGTAGGCAGTATCATTAAATATAGCATCGTGAATAACATTTATACAGTATTATACACGTATATATAATTAAATATAGCATTGTGAACAGTATGTTTCACAAGATGTTAAAGAGCAGTATTAACTTTCATCTCATAAGTCACCTGTTAGGTTTCCTTTTTTGGTTGGTAATGTTATCTGAGTGGCGTGGCAGTATAGCAAGATTCTAGTAACACAAAGGCATGTCCTACTTATATGCGTTTACTCATCAGTCTTGATGAGTAAACATATATAAGCAGGACATGGCCTTTAAAGTGTCAGTCACTTGATTTTCAGCATTCATCAGAAAGACAGGACTTTAAAGTGTCAGTCACTTGATTTTCAGCATTCATCAGAAACATTCTACATAATTTCTTGCAAGGTCAATAATAGTCTTCACCGCATAATAACATTTTTGTCAGCAATAGGACACATACATCATGGTGGTCCCATAAGATTATAATGGAGCTGAAAAATTCCTATTACCTAGTGATGTAGCTGTTTTAGTGTCATCACACAATGCATTACCTTTTCTTTCTTTAGATACACAAATACCATTGTGTTACAATTGCCTATAGTATTCAGTACCGTAACACACCTTACAGGTTTGCAGCCTAGGAACAATAAACCATACCACTTTGGCTAGCTGTAGAGTAGGCTCTGCCATGTGTAAGTAACTCTGTAACATTTGCACAAGGACAAAATCACCTAATGATGCATTTCTCAAAATGTATCACTGTCATTAAATAATGCATGACCATATTACATAAAATCTCATGTACACTTTATATTGATATGGAAAACATTTTATTTGCTTTCTCAATGCCCATTTCAGAACTTAAG